GCCTCAGCAACCCAAGGAGGGGTCGCTATGAGTTGGGTCCGACTTGACGGAAGTGAGTTTGAGTTTTTCGGAATATTTACAGAATTACATCGCCAGGCCTTTCTTCTGCAGTGTCACTGGATGGGTTCAAATGGCCAAACTTTAACTTAGTAATTGAGTGCAAGCCATTTGTACTAACCAGGGATTTATGGAAACTGAAAAAAAAAAAAAAAACCTCACTGCTATCAAGTCAATTCTGACTCATAGTGATGCCCACTGGGTTTCTGAGGCAGTAAATGTTTACAGAAGTAGATTGCCTCATCTTCCTTCCACCGATGGCTGGTGAGTTTGAACCTCCAACCTTCTGGTTAGCAGTCAAATGCCTTAGGCACTATGCCACCAGAGCTCATTATGGAAGCTGAGAGTTTAAAAATCATTTCAACAACATATTTGTGCCAGACATGTGCTAGGGTCTGGAGACATTAGGATAAATAAGAGACACTGTCTGTCTTTACGGAAAACAGAGTTTAGCACCAGTTTCTGGGTGAAGTTAGGAAACAACCCACAATAACAACAAAGATCAACAGCAACAAAGCAAAAGGGGGGTTTGCTTGGTGGACATGCAGATTCCTGGGCCACACCCCCAAGAGATCCTGATTCTTCAGATTTGTGGTTCAGCCTAGGAGCCTATGTATTAATTAAAAAAAAAAAAAAAAAAAACACTGCCATCTACTCAATTCTGACTCATAATGACCCTCATTGGGTTTCCAAGGCAGTGTCTCTATGGAAGTAGATTGCCCAGTCTTCCTTCTGAGCAGTGGCTCAGCCTTCTGCTAGCCTTCTAGTTAGCAGTCAAATGGCTTAGATACTACGCCACTCCTATCAATTAGGAGACATTAAACACTAAACTTCAAGAACCACTGAACGGGAAGTAGATGCAAATTGGAGAGATCGAGGGAGACTGCCTGCAAGAAGAGGGTCTTGACCAGAGAAATCAGATGTTAGCAATATTCACGGTACCCAGATTTTGTCCCTGGCATGCTAGCAATACTCTGTGAAGGAACTGAGAATTAAAGGTCACCCCACCAGGAAGTGACAGAATCAGAAGAATTTAAACGTGTCACCAGCTGCTCCAGCCCCTCTCTGTCCAATACCTCACTGCCATCCCCACTCCCATGAAAACTCCAGGTCCCCACACAACTTGCCCTGTATGGTCTAGGTCTCGGAGTCTTGGCTTTTGCCCACACTTCCTGTCTCTTCTCTGCCCAAAGCCATTTCATATGTCACTTCCTCTTTACTCCAGACAGCCACCCCCAGGCTGATTTCATTGTTCCCTTATCTGTGTTTCCTTAGCACTTTCTATATATCTTTATTATGGTGCTGGTCTTGTATCATTGTGTTTGCTTACATTTCTGGCTAGACTGAGCTCAAATATCCTCAAATAGCTTTAGGAGAAAGGCATTAATTTCCACTATTTTGTAGATGAGAAAATGGAGGTTCAGTGAAGTGGTCTCAAGAGCACGGAGGCTCAGAGCCTCGGTGAAAGCTTACTGTCATTTATCAGCTGTAGGACCTTAGGTAAATTGCTGAACTTCTCTGTGCCTCAGCCTCTTAGGCAGTAAAATGCAGATGATAATAAATAGAAACTGCCATAATGGGGCTGTCAGGTGGATTGATGGAGTTAATATTTGTAAAGCACCTAGAATTTGTAAAACACCATATGTAAAGCACATTCTAAGTGGTATAGAAAAGTCATGACATTGTAATTTAAATAAAAAATCTTGGCATTATACAAGTGGGAGACTGGCTGGCAAGCACCTTGTGATTGGCTGCTAACCTAAAGACTGGTGGTTCAAATCCACCCATCAGCTCCATAGGGCCTGCTGAACTGCTTCTGTAAAAAAGATTACAGCCAACAAAACCCTATGGAGCATTTCTCTGTTGTAACACATGGGATCATTATCTTGAGTTGTGATAGACTTGACAACCATGTGTTGGGTTTTGGTTTTAGCCACTGCTCTATTTTAACTGTAAAGAGCTCTGGAGTCATAGTGGTTAAAGCATTTGGCTACTAAGCAAAAAGTTTGGAGGTTTGAAACCACAAACCACTTCCTGGGAGAAAGATGAGGCAGTCTGCTTCTGTAAAGATTTACAGCCTTGGAAAGCCTTGGAGCAGTTGTACTCTGTCCAATAAGGTCACTATGAGTCAGAATTGACTCGATGGCAGTGGGTTTGATATTGGTGTTCTATTTTAACTTTATAAGATTCCAAGATTTCCTTAGAAGTAATGGTCCTATTTGATGCAGCAAGAAAAGAAAGCTGGTTTGGGACAGAAGATGTTCAAGATTTAAGAGGAAGCAACATGTCCAACAAACTGTTGAATCAAGACACTGGACTATGGAAGGAAGAAGGCACCTGGGTTTCCAGACACTGGGTCAGAGTGGAGGGCATAAGGGTTACCCACCCAGGTGAGGACCACCAGGGTAGACTCAGGGAGTTGGTCCCCTTACACGTCCTCTCTAGTCAGTTGTATTTTAGATATTTGTTCCCCTGGGGTGACTTGTCATGAAGACCCTACCTGTACATCCCTAATTCTGCAAGATGGTGCCATTGACAAATGGAAAATATTAATTATTGTTTTGTTGAGGTATTGGCTGATTTCTTAAATTTTAGTATTGTACTACAATAAGGATTAAGAATAAAGACATCTTTATTCTCACCTAATACTTTTTATAGGATAACTGCATAGCCAAAATATATTATTATTACTTAAGTTGATATGATTTAAAATGGTGAATTGAATTGTGATTGATCCAGTAGATGAAGCATAAGCCAACTGTTAGCTGAGTGACAAAAGCATGTACATGTTGCCAGTTTAGGGACCATGGATAGACAGTTTATCTACATGTGGAAAAATTATTCAGTGATTAACCTTTGAGTCAAATATTGACTATTAACAACTTAGAGTACATTACTTTCCTAGCTGGAGGTTGATTAGAACAGCAATTCTTAAACTGGAATATGAGTCAGGTAAAACCTGTTACCTCCATGTCAATTTTGACTCACAGTGACCCTGTAGCACAGAGTAGAAATGATTCCAAGGCTGTAATCTTTAAGGAAGCACACTGCCACATCTTTCTCCCTTGGAGCAGCTTGTGGGTTCAAACCACTGACCTTTCAGTTAGCAGCTTAGCACTTACTTAACCATTGCCTCACCAGGACTCCTAGAATCACCTACAAGGCTTGTTAAAGCATATGGTTGGGCTCCATCCTCAGAGTTTGTGATTCAGTGGGCCTGGGATGGAGCCCAAGAATCTGCATTTCTAACAAGTTCCCAGGTGATGCTGATACTGCTTGTTCAGGGACCACATTTTGAGAACCATTGATTTAGAACAAACTTCCCCTCATGGTAGCACCTCACCAAACACCTCAGCTGGAATGTGGTATCATTAGGTTTGTTTTAAATAGGTACCTTAAGCAATCGAATTTCCCAACCACTTTTAGCACTTTACAGACCAAGAGAGTCATTGCTTAATTATTTCTCCTCTAGAAGGAGAAAATAGAGCCCTGGTGGCACAGTGGTTAAGTGCTTGGCTGCTAACCAAAAGGTTGGAGGTTTGAACCTACCAGACACTCCACGGGAGAAAGATATGGCAATCTGCTTCCATAAAGATTACAGCCTTGAAAACCTTGTGGAATGTTTTTACTCTTGGAGCTCTGGTAGCATAGTGCCTAAGGCACCTGACTGCTAACCAGAAGGCTGGTGGGTTTGAACCACCACTCCTCAGAAGGAAGGTTGGGCAATCCACTTCTGTAGTGATACTGCCTCGGCAACCCAAGGAGGGGTCGCTATGAGTCAGGTCCGACTTGACGGCACATAACAACAACAACAACATAGGGTCACTATTGGTCAGAATCGACTTGATCGTAGTGGCTTTTGTGTGTGTGTGTGGTTTAGAAGAAGAAAAAAACATTAGTAATGATTGGTGATTTGAAGGGAATCTCATCGCTAATTTGAGCATTAGCTTCATGTTTCTGATGTTATCATTCAACATATTAAGGCTTCCTGATGTTTTCCAATATTTTTATGAACTAGTTGAAAAATGTATCTTTCATTTAGTTTTGTCCTTCATTCTTGGGCTAGCAAGCTGAGAGGTGATGGCCAGTAGGTGGCGCCATGAATCAGTTCATAGTAATGGCTGGACAGGGTGCAAGGCAAATGCACAAAGGAAGGTGCCTGCTTTAAATCCTCAAAGTAAGGTCCTCTTAACCACTTGTCATAAAATACTGAGACACACGTCTCAGAAAATCGAAGTGTCAAGCTCAGCATCTTTGCCACATTTCAAACTAGGTAATTACCTTCTCTCCCAAAGGGAACCTGTTTTATGTATTTGTGTCCTTTCTAGGTTACGGGTTTCCCAAAGGCAATGATCTTGCCTTCCACTCACTCTATACAATGCAGAAGTGAAATGCACATTTGACAATAACAATTTAATTATTCTACATCCCTCTGAGCTAAATGATGACCTGTTATATAATTGCTAGTAATATAGAAACATGCCTGCCTCATATAAACGCTAGCAATAAAGGGAAGTTTTTATTTGACCTAAAAGTAAACTGCTTATTTCTTTCTCCTTTCAATATAAAAAGTAGACTGTTTTCCTGTCATCCAAAATTGTAAGTCGTTATCAAACATGCAACACTGCATTTTAGTCTGTCATTTTTATTAAGTCTGCAGGGTTTTTTGTTTTGTTTTTTACTACACACAACAAATACTTTGATATACTCTAAGATAATAAAATAGTTGAACAACTTTTTTTTTTTTTTTTAGATTTACATTTGTATAGAAACAATCTGTGGAACTCCTCAAAACAAAGGTATCTAAAAACAGTCATTCATCAACAATTGCTTTAAATAACTGTTTGGCTAAAAGTTGCAGTTTCCATTCTCAACTGAAATATGTCTTCATGCAGTTCCCCTTGGTCCAAAGCTTAAGGCCTCGGGAAGGTGGCCAATAAAAAAAAGATGGCCACTTTCCTCTCTGTCCTTTCCCATGTGGAGGACAGTGATTGGAACAGGGTCATTATAAAAGCCAGGGAGGAAAGAAATCAATTGCACATCTCTAGTCTGCAAGGGTCAAAGTTACAACCAGTCTTTACCCAATGACTCTCTATCTGTAGGTGTGAAATCCCATCATGATGGCACAGCTCCTACTTGTCCCCCAAATGTTTCTTTCCTCTGCTAATCAGTTATTTTGAAAAGGTTGTGGCCATAAATTTTCCCTAAGGCCTGGTCCTTTTATCACATTTCTGCCTCCTCCCTTGCATTATATGTCACTTGGTTGCTATGTCTCAGTGCTCAATAAGGGTCTACCATCCCCTAAGAAATGCCTCACCCCTCCCACAAATCAATCCCCAAAGTGCCTAAGAGTGAAGACCCCATGGAGACAGTGTCTTCAGTAAAACACCTCCCCAAAGATGCCGGGGGACTCTGGCCTATATCATTCCATTGATCTTAGTCCACTCATAGATGTCCTGTTCACACACTATGTCGGAGTTGATGAGGAGGTATCGGTCGCCTACACAGAAATGCTTCTGACAGGCGGCACACTTGAAACATTCCAGGTGGTACACTTTGTCTTTCACCCGCATTGTCATCTCATAGGCACGGATCCGCTTGTCACAGGATGCACAGAGACCATCTTGACCAAAAAGTCTGGGGGGAAGAAAGAAAAAAAGGCTAAGAAGATAGTGGCAGAGTTAATACTAGAAGGAAGGGTTTGGTGATGGGTTCCATAAAGTAGGCTGGACTTCCAAAAACCTAGGAAGAGTTGGGTCCAGAAGGAAGGCTGACTACTGTAGAGTCTTGTCTGGAAAAGAAAGGGTAGTCAGGGATGAAACAGTAGCCAGTGGCATTTGTGTTTGGTATTAACTCCTCTCTTTTCTGAGCTTTCTTCCTGCCTTCAGAAACCACTCACCACAGCCTCTAGTCTGTCCCAGACCTCTCTGCTATGGAAGAGACTCTCAGTTGAAATGATTTGAGATAAAGGGTTAGAGATGTGGAGGTAGGCCCTCTCAGTGAACTTTCATTTCAGAAGAGGAGCTAGAGTGAACACCTAGCAGCCTATCTGGGGAGGAGGGGACTGGCCAAGAATGCAATAAAATGGATATCCTCCTGAGGTTGCTCAAACTCTATCACACCAACACTCACTAATTCCACCCATGAGGAAGGTTGGCCTTGAATTCCTCCATAAGCTGCAGAGCCCATCTCCACATGATAATTCCCTGGGGACAAAGGGATTCTGACAGAGAACACCTGGTGCAGTTAATCATGCCTCAGAGATCTGGAGGACAAACTACTCTCCACATCAAATTGGAAGATCTTTCTTAGTTCACGATCTTCCATGCCCCACTGGCCTAGCTCCCTTGGGAAACTTTTCTTACTGCATGTAAATCAAGACATTCCTCTCAGTTGATAAGCCACTCATTTCAAGTACTGGTCAATGTCAAGGTGGTGATGCAACACAGTAGAACCTGGTGCCTGCTAACCTTGTTGATGTTGAGTCTATTCCTGGTGACCTCTGTGCTCAACTATTAACCTAAAAGTTGGCAGTACGAATGAACCCAGTGGCACTGTGGTAGAGAGGTGTGGCAATCCCATGCCATAAAGATTGTTGTTGCTGTAAAGAGCCATGGAATCCATTTTTGACACATCTGACAGAGCAGACCTCCCCCATAGGGTTTCTAGGCTGTAATCTTTATGGAGCAGATGGCCAGGTCTTTCTCCCTTGGAGCTGCCAGGTGGGTCCAAACTGCCAACCTTTTGGTTAGCAGCCAAATGCTTAACGATTATGCCACCAGGGCTCCTCTAGGGGCGAGGTTCTCAAAGTGTGATCTCAGTGCCAGTACCATTGGTATCACCTGGGAACCTGTTAGAAATGCATGTCTTCAGGCCCCACTTGACTGAGAAGCTCTGGGGAAGTGACACAGCAGTCTGTGTTTGAATGAGCACTTCCAGGTGATTCTGATGCAGGCCAGAGTCCAAGAACCAACCCGCAAGGGTAGAGGAACACAAGTAATGGAATCAGAAGACCACATTCAAGTACAGGACCAGCCATGAGTATGTGAATGACCCAGAGAAGACATTTTATTTCTCAGCGTTTCAGTGAAATAGTGGTGATTATAACATCTACCAAGAAGCCCACGTGGTGCAGTGGTTAAGCACTTAGCTGCCAACCAAAAAAAAAAGGTCAGTGGTTCGATGTGGCAGTTTGCTTCCATAAAGAGTACAGCCTTGGAAACCCTGTAGACCTATTCTCTACTCTGTCCTTGTGGGGTCACTATGAGTGGGAATTGACTTGACAACAATGGGTTTGTTTGCTTGTTTATAACGTCTATCTCATTTGGCTATCAGAAAATCAATGGGGCATATCAAAGCATCAATAGCCAAGGGCTAAGCCAATGCAGGTTACTGTTAACACACCTCAAGTATATGCCCAACTGCACCTATCTTCAGGAAGTCATTGTCGCATACGTCTGAGGTCTGAGATCGTGGCATACAAGCAGGTGGTTTTCACATAAAACTTTTCAGGTAAATGCTGGTTCTTCCTAGAAGTTCTTATTAACTTTGGAATAGTAGAGAATCAGTTGGTACACTCTGAGAGGTTTCACTGGATAGTAGGAGCCCTGGTGGCTCTGTCATTAAAGCATTGGGCTGCTAACCAAAAGGTCTGCAGTTTGAACCAGCTGCTCCACAGAAGAAAGATGAGGCAGCCTGTTTCCATGAAGATTTACAGCCTTGGGAATGCTATTGGGCTTTTCTACTCTGCTCTATAGCATTGCTATGAGTAAGAATTGACACGATGACAGTGGGTGAGTGGGTTTTGGGGAGATCAGGGCAGTTGACAAATTTTGAAATATTTGGGCAAAATGAATGGAATCAAGGTCTGTGAGCAGAGAGCTCATTTTTAGAGCCAGGGCCATCTAATTTCTTCTGCATCTTGGTTTTTATATGAAGATCTCTGAGTGTTTTCAGAGCACCACCTGGGAGCAAACTCATTACTAGGGGAGAACATTTATCCCAACGTAGCAGATGGCAGAGCTGTAGGTAACCGCCACATTGGAGGTCACAGAGTGGAAAGACAGTTCTGGTTTCCTGGCTGTTCAGTAAGTGAAGTTTGGGCCTGAGTGAGGATAAATGACTGACAAAACAGTGTGTGCAGAATGACTCCAGCTGCCTGGGGTGTGTGCCCCCTAAGGAAGGAGAGAGTTCATTAGAGGGATTGCAGGGGGTAAATTATAATATACTTCAGGCAGCTAATGAAGGGATGGACAAAGGGCTGAGACTTGGGAGACAAGTGCAGGTCGCAGCATCATCTCTAAGCAGCCAGGTGACCTCAAGCAAATTACATCCTCTCTCTGGGCCTCTGGGTCTTAACGCAAGGGAACCAGAAGAAACCGCTTCCACAGCTCCTTCAAACTCTGGTATTCTGAGATGCTAATGCTGGTAAAAAGCCAACCAGCACTTAGCACCTAACTCGAGCATTAACCTCTGGCCAAGAATTGGTGTCTCGGGCTGAATATTCCAGAAGATGATCCCGAGGCGAGGATTTGTGTATCAGGGATTTATTAAGGATGTGTTTCTAGGGGAACCCAGACTGAAAGGGGAAGCAGGGGAAGGTGGACTAGAAGGGGAAGAGGTCAAGCAAAACTGCAATCTCAGGCCAAGTCTCAGAGGGAAACTTCAGCCCGAGCCCACTGGGAACTCTCTAGTCTACTTATGTCTGCGATCGTCCCAACCCACCCGCAAGGCTGCAGGGCTTTCATGTTCCTGCTGTATTAGTCGTCAGTTAACGGTCCATGAGGGGCTGGGGAACTGGGATACTTGGGCTGTTGAAAATAAAACCACTGGGAGTGTGTGATCTACCACAGAAATTGGCAAAAAGGGATCCAAAGAAGATCTGGGCCCACACTCCCATTAACAGCTACTGTTAAGTTCTGAAAAACACAACAGAGGCTGGGTTCAGGCACCACATGGGGGTCTCATGATCATTTGAGACTAAGTACCTGAAAAGGATTATAACAGGTAAGTGGGTCACTGCAAGTCCTCACGGGGAGGAACCAACTAGGGGGAGGGACTGAACCCCTTTCTAGGTCCCTTTCAGTCCTGCCTCCTTCTTGTCTTTTTACAAAGACAGATAGGCTACGAATGCCAGTAAACAAGCCCAGGTTAAAGGACCATCCCTGAAGCAAAACCATTTCTCTTCCTTCTGTCAAGAGGTGTCACATCTTAAGCTTTCTGCTGCCCATTTTGATAACAATAATATAAATATTAAAGGATGGCTGGAAACACCAGCACTAACACCGAGTTAATTAACATGTTGCCTGGGAATGTAGCAGGGAGAAGAATTATTTCATGTCACCAAGACACAAGTTAATTAACATTGGGTTCTCCCAGACTATTTTTTACTCTCCTATTTTTTTTTAAATGGAAGAGATTAACAAGCCTAGACAGCCCTGGTTGTGTTCTTGAATGTTCTGTAAAACTACAGAAATAGAGAAGCCTTCTGACCTTACCCAATCTGTACTTCATTTAATAAGATTTAAATGATTTGACAGGGATGTAGTCAGGGAGTCCAATGGGAATCATTTACCCGTCTGCTTTCTGCAGTGCCCTGGCAAACTGGTTACTGAGCAAAACCAGGTCTCTATTTATCCCTGTTCTATTTTCTTGTGACTTAAAAAAAATAAAATTAAAACAAAAAACATTATCATGATCATTGAAAACCACCAAAGTTCTTGAAACCACTAAATTTGCAAGGACTCTTATCAAGGAATTGATGGGGTGGGGGAGACAGAGGAGGTTGGTTATTCTAATCAATTTCTGGATAAACAGATAAGCTTCCTTTACCATTGAAGTGCCTGCAGGTTTGTTTGTTTTTTGGTTTTCATGTGAAATGCTCTGAGGGCAGGTTAGGAGGAAGGCCTAGCCTGGTCAAGGGCACTGAAATCTAAACAAGCTTCTACCGGTTGGATGGCCCTGCATGCTCCATGGACCCTCTGCCTCAGGAAGAGGGTAACAAACTGACAGCTGTACAGTTGAGCAGATCTGACAGCAGAGGGCACAGAGTTCCGCCACTGCAGCCAGTATGAAACCAGGAATGCTAGAACTTTCCAGGCAAAAGCACTCGGTGAGCACCTGAAAATTCACAGGGCTGATCGTACAACCCAAAGCAGAGAGATGTCTTCACTGGTGTTTCACCCCTCCATGCTTCTACCTCCTGTTCATAAGATAGGGAAAGACTTACTGCTAATCTCATGTGGATTAGTTATCATTGAAGAGCAGCTAATTTGATAGCTATATACCAAGCCAAGTTTTTTACGTGCATTAATCCCATCTAGTCCTCACCATCACCTTGGAAGATGTTGTTTGCTGCCGTTGAGTTGGTTCCCTGACTCATGACAACCCCATCCACAATGGCACAAATCACCTGCCCCCTAGGTACTTACTATTCTGAGTTTTGTGCTTATCATTCTCTTGCCAAAGGAGCCCTGGTAGAGCAGTGGTTAAGAGCTTGGCTACCATCTGAGAGGTTAGTGTTGGAACCCACCAGCTGCTCCATGGCAGCAAGATGTGACAGTTCACTTCTGGAAAGATTTACAGCCTAGAAGACCCTAGGGGGCAATTCTGGCCCACAGGGTCGCTATGAGTCGAAAGCGACTAAACAACAATAGGCTTGGTTTGATTTTGGTTTGCCATCCAAAATGTTAGTATTTTACCACATAGGAATGTATCCCTGAGTGCATGCTTCTCACACAGGAGGAAATGCCAGAGGCTTCACTGTATGGGTGGCTGAGACTCAGCCTCCACGCCTGACCTCATTCTGGCAGCACAATGGCTCTGTGGCAGAAGCTGGGGGAGCCACACCAGACACCGGTGTCTGTGGACAACCTACCTCCCTTCTGAGGCCTCCAGGCTGGGGGTGAAAGAAAAAGTACCTGAGATAGTCTCTGCGGCAGAGCTTCCGGCCCAGCTTGTAGTAGAGGCGCCGCCCCACCTCACCCAGCCGGCATCCACAGAGGTCACAGCTGAGGCAGTCCTCGTGCCAGTACTGGTCGATGGCCTTCAGGAAGTAGCGGTCCCCAATGTTCTGCTGGCAGCCGCCGCATGTCAGCAGGGACGGGGGGATCTGCAGCACTTCGTCCACTGGCTCCCTGGAAAGGAGGCCAAGCGTTAGAGACAAACTCATCTTGGTGAGACAAGCACTGGGCATCAGGAATTGCTCTGAGATAAACTGGCCTGTGGCGGAGCTTACATTATGGGACTCTCACTCGATTGCCTTTTGGAGACATAAGGTGAAGGGACAGGCCAACATATCTCTAGGCCAGATTGCAGAGATGCCCAACCAACCTTGGGCTAGGTCAGGCACGAGCTAGACCGGAAGCCCTATATCCTATAAGTGAACACAAGGCACCCAAAGGCATCTAAGACAATTGTAGGTGGTGCTGTGTCCCTACCCACAGCTCAGCCCCTTTCTTGGCACACTGGTCTCCTTTCTTCTCCCTGTTCTCCCTGCCTGCTCTCCTCTACCTTCATAATTCTTACTCCTGTTCCTCTTGCCAGACCCAAGACCCAAGAGCACACCCTGACCCCAGAGGAGGCACTTGGGACTAAACAAGCTGCTTGCTGCCCGGCAACTCAGTGCTAAAATCCAACATTCCCTATTAAATCTGTCTGTGATCTCTGCTCCATGCCCCTCCCAAATGCACAAAAGCAGAAGGTAAGAGAGGAAGAAAAAAGCAATAAAAAATTATTTTAGGTTGCTCTCTCTTTCCAAAATAGAAATTCCATCAAGACATAAAAGGAGTTCTTCTGGTTTTATTTTCTATAGAAATTCCTCACCCCATCCTTCTACTGAATGACTCCTCAGAGAGGAATCTAGGATGTTAAGGGTCACTGCTGTACTTACAAAGGACCTTTCTTTCCTCACATGAAAATATTTACAACAGCAAAACTGATTGGGAGGAAGCTGATTTAGAAAGGGAAAATGGGGAGGAAGTCAAAGATCACTTAGAGTGGAAAGCAATTAAACAGACTGTGGAATCTCACTCCAGACAATTCTTCAATAGTGAGACTGCCATACACGTTATTTCATTAAAAACTTGTACGTACTGTCTTCTATTCACTTTGCTGAGCAGGAATCTGAATACTTTTCTTTTACATTTAAAAATAACTTTGCCAAAATAAAAGGCATGGAAGGAATGATTCTAGCACCAGAACGGACACAGAAAAGGCCTAATACTTGTTGATTTGTAATAGTTAACAAGCGTTCTTTGGAACCTCACTCAAACACAAAGGTATTTTTTAAAAAAATCTATTAACATTTTTTAAAATGGACCTGCTTCCAACAGTGAAATTCTCAAAGGGAATTTCCCCCAGGTACCTTAGGGGTATAAATCTGTCTCCTATTTCTAGCTCATACCAATTCACCATCTGGACCTTGGGTCCTAATTGGTCTATGCCCACAGAACTCAGTACCCATTGAACTTAGGGACAATGAGGCTCATGTAATCATTGTTTATAAACCTTTTGACAATCTCAGGTGACTGTCAGGTAAAGCACATGCCTCCATATAAATATTCAGGAGATGCTAAACTATAGATCAAAGACTGTAATCAGGGCAGTTTGGAAGATTAGCTCCAATTAAAACAAGGAGATGTGAAATCCAAGCCAGTTCTTTTTAAATACTTCAATACTTGTAAGAATTCACAGAAGCCTGACTCCTTTTTCTTTGTTTCTAGAGAATGTGCATCAGGACTTCCATTTTCCCTTCTGAAAAATAACTAACATCCTTGGCATTTTCGTGTGCATCAACTCAAAATTGCATCTCTTCTCTTTCCACAGGCCGTGATTTTACTTGGGGCTTTCGAAATGCTTCTGGCACTGCTACCATGCTGAATGCCCCAGTGCTGATGCTGCCAACCAACTGTGAAAGAGGAGACTTTGCACTTAGCTGGTGCAAAACTGCCTGGAATGAAAATGAACTGTTCTTGTGACTCCCAGGAAGGCAGTAGGGGCCACCAATTGCATTGTAGAGGAAATCTCTTAAGTTCCTGAATTCTGGCTGTCTTTCTGTCTAAATGCTTCATTTGCATAAGCCTAGGCAAGTCTTCATCTATATACAATTTGGGCTTGCTAACTATAAGACCCAAGCTGGCCTTGAGTAAGTACAATAAAACATCTAGAGCTTCTCAGTGGAAATGTTAAGGAAAGGAGTTATCATCATGGCCTAAGATGAGATAGGAAAGGACAGGATGAGATATTGGTTCCATCTATCTTTCTGTAATTAATGATAGTATCACATTATCTTTCGTGGAGGTTCCAAGCCAATGACTGGGTGGGATTTACCCTTAAATTAATATTTTATATTCTCCTAGAGACTATCCTGAACATTGCACCTGAATATTACTTCAGCCTGGATTTCTAAGATAATTTATCATCAATTTTTGAGAGCAAGAAAAAAAAAAATAATGCCCTGCATCAAATCCTCAGTTACCTTGTCTACCTTCAGTTAGAACCCATCTTCACTGGGCACAGAGAAGCAAGGCATGGGGTAGGTTAGCGTCCTTCACTAGGTGCTGGTTGTGTTACATGGTTAGGATGCTTGGATTTTCTAATCTCAGTGAAAAAGAACAAACTTTGAAAAGCCCAAACTCCCTTCAGGGAACTGAAACCTCCTGATTTATCTTTTAGTAAAAGGATTAGTGACTCAGTTCTGCTGATTGGAAGGGCATTAGGCACCAATTCATCCAATTCTGTCTTGTATTGCTATCGTCTTGCCCAGTCTCTGAGAACTCGGGGCTGAATTGTAATTCTGGGTTTCTAAGAAAGTGAGCAAACCACCCTTGAAACTCATTGTTTGCATAGTTACATACTTTAAAGTAAAGGAATGTTATTTTGTCCAGAGAATTTGTTTAAGGAAGCTAAGTTTTTGATAACACAAACCAAGCTCCTTATAGAAATGGTGTCATAACCTTGAAGATTGAATAGTGGTGTTTGTATTCCACTGGATGGAAGCACTTCCTGTGTTTTATGAGAACATACTGAGCTTTTATGTCAGTAACTGCGGGTAAAACCCAGGTAAATAAACACCACGGAGGGCTGAAATTGGAGGAGGGAGACTTCAAGCAGGAAAGCACAATTCTTTTAAAGCAGGAAAAGGAAAAAAACAAAACAAAACAAATGCCTCTTAAAAGCACAAATGGACAAGTCATTAACCAGCTCCTTTGGTGTGTGTAACAAATCCCTTCAAAGGATTAGCCTGGGACTTCAAAGGAATAAAAATTCTCGAAACCAGACAACTAATGAATCTTAAAAGGGCATTTGCGTTGACGGGAAAATGATATCTTAAACAACCCTTTCTCCCCAGGTTAACACAAAGAATGGGTTGGGGGTGTAGGGAAACATTCCAAACTGCTAAGAGGTTCAGAAAACAGATGCCACAAATACTCCTTAGAGCACTGTTTTGAGACTGTGCTGAAAACCTTGCGAGTCCTCTCCCCAGAAAAATTCACCTACACCCAAAATGGTGCTCTGACTTTTGAGGTCACAGACCCCTGTCGGTAGTCTCCGGGTGCGGGGTGGGGTTGCATGAATCCAGATTAACTCGAGATCTGCCGGCTTCAGAAATCTCTAGGGGCCAAAGCGAGCTCTTAGGTGGGCGCTCCGACCCCTCACCCGCCGGCCACCGGCGCTGCTGGTAGCCGCTCCACCTGCAGACTTGGAAAGGGACCATCAGGGATGCCAGAGACCTCCCCTTGGAATGCCCCTCCATCCGGGGGCAAATGGACAAAGAGAAGGGAGCAGAACTAAGCTCTGGGCGTTCTCCGGACTGCACCTGCGCGCCTCCGAGCCGCCCCCCGTGCTTGCTCCGGTGTAAACTTTCTCACCCGCGGCCGCTTTACAGAGCTTCTCAGGCAGCGGGAGGGGTCGAGGAGGTGCCTGGCCAGAACCCTTCTCCCTGCTGCCCTCTGCCCAGTCCCTCTCCCAGGGTCTCCGGTGCCACCCGGTGAGGAAGGGAGAGCCCTGCTCGAAGCAGAAAGAGCGAGGGGCACGCTGCAGGCGTTCACCTGGAGCCCCCTCGCGGGCCGTCCGCGCCACCCTGCCGCCCGGGGCGCAAGGCCCTGGACCCATGGGTGGCAGGGGCAGGAGCGCCACACTTACTCAGACGGGTCCAGGCTCTTCCTCTCGATGGCCGAGGACATTGGGGAGGGAGGTGGCGTGCCGGGTGGCGGCGGCGCTCCCTTTGTGGCACGGGGCTGGCCGGCTACCGGGACTCGGACCCCCTCGGGTGCTCGGGCGCCGCTGCGGCCGCCGCCGCTCCTGCACCTCCTCTTGCTCCGGTGCTCCCGAGGCGAGCTCGCCCCTCCGCGCTCAAGGACAGTCACCGCGCTCCCTTCAAACGCCAAAGAGAGAGAGCGAATCACTGGGCTGCGGGCGCGCCGCGGCCGAGGATGGGGCTGGGGCGCACAGCTTGGCCCCGGGCGGCTGCAGCTGCTGCTGCTGCTCAGGGCTTAACCTTCCATCCCGATGCCGCCGCCGCCGCCGCCGCCGCCGCCGCC